AGCAGTCTCGGATGATGACCCAGCTTGTTGTCAAGGCTGGGAGATTGTGAGTGACAACAGAACTCAGTTCATATGTGTCAAGGTTCCTTCCCCACTCTGAACTTTAGGGTACAGATGTAGGGACCTGCATGAAAACCTCTAAGCTTCTCTACCAGCTTAGATCTGCTTTTGCTGCCACCACTCCCAATGTGCTAATTCCCTTCCCTGGATAGCCTTGAGAGACTTCTTCACCAATTTCCTGGTGAACATCGATCCAAACCTTTGGATCTTAACACAAGGAGAATTTAACCATCCCCCCTCCTTTCCCCCACCAGTTCCTGGTGAGTCCAGATCCAACCCCTTGGATCTTAAAACAAGGAAAAATCAATCAGGTTCTTAAAAAGAAGGCTTTTAATTAAAGAAAAGACAAAAATCATCTCTGTAAAATCAGGATGGAAAATAACTTTACAGGGTAATCAAATTCAAGGAGCCCAGAGGAACCCCCTCTAGCCTTAGGTTCAAAGTTACAGCAAATGGAGATAAACACTCTAGCAAAAGGAACATTTATAAGTTGAGAAAACAAAGATAAAACTAACATGCCTTGCCTGGCTGTTACTTACAAGTTTGAAATATGAGAGACTTGTTCAGAAAGATTGGGAGAGCATGGATTGATATCTGGTCCCTCTTAGTCCCGAGAGCGAACAACCCCCATAACAAAGAGCACAAACAAAAGCCTTCCCCCCCCCCCCCCGCAGATTTGAAAGTATCTTGTCCCCTTATTGGTCCTTTGGGTCAGGTGTTAGCCAGGTTACCTGAGCTTCTTAACCCTTTACAGGTAAAAGGATTTTGGTGTCTCTGGCCAGGAGGGATTATAGTATCGTACACAGGAGGGGTGTTACCCGTCCCTTTTAGTTATGACAACATCCAAAGAGTTTCAGTTGTTTGTCAAAAGAACAAACATGCCACATTAGCTCCAGCCTGCCACAGATGGATTAGTGGAAAGGTTTGTCTAGACATTCTAGCAAGTGACCCATGCTATGACTGGGGTGAAAGTAAGTCAGGACACTTACCGGTATGGGACCGGGGGGGCCTCTGGCCCCCCGGAAGGGGCGGGGCCGTGGGCAGAAGGGATGGGGCTGGGGGGGTCAGCATCCCCCAACCAGCCCTTCCAGGCCACCTGGCCTGCGCTGCCCGGGGCTCCCGTGTTGATTTAAAGGGCCTAGGGCTCCGGACGCCGCTACTGTGCTAGCGGCAGCAGCGTCCGAAGCTCCGGGCCCTTTTAAATCACCAGCCCCAGGGCAATTGCTCCCTTTGCACACACACACACACCCCCGCCCGTTGGCGGCTGCATGGGGGGCAAAAGGGGCAGGGACATTAAAGTGCTGCAGGGTCCTTTGCCGCGGCAGCACTTTACTGTTGCTGCCCCTCCCCTCCCCCACCCCCCGGAACATTAGAGCATTGCTGCAGCAGCGCTTTAACGTCCCTGCCCCTTTTGCCTCCCCTGTCGGCAGACCTGCCAGTATGGACCCTACCAGCAGAGCCGCTGACGGGGGAAGGGGCAGTGACGTTAAAGCGTTGCCTCTTAAAGTAGCAGCGCTTTAAGGACGGTCCTTTGCCACGGCAGCAGTTTGAGGATCCTTAAAGCACTGCTGCAGCAAAGGGCAGCGCTTTAAGTTTGCTGCCCCTTTTCTCCCCACAAGCAGGGCACCAACAGGGGAAGCAAAAAGGGCAGGGACATTAAAGCGCTGCCATTGCAGCGCTTTAATGTGGGCTGGGTATGGGCCGGTGTGGGTTCTTACTGGTACGCCGTACCGGCTCACTTTCACCCCTGGCTATGATCCATAAGGGTAGCTTACAACACAAGACTGCATATTTTCTATTTGCCTGTAGGAATGCACCTCATGCTGCTACAAATCAGACACCAACAAGGATGTTTTGGGGACATAATTTAAGATAACACCTGGACTTCTTAAAGCCTGAGCTAGAGAGTGAGTTCACAAGAAACAGTGTGATCAGATGGGTCACACCTGACTGCACAGCTTTCACGTGGGAGAAAAAGTAGTAGTAAGAGATGATCAAGATAATTGGTGGAAAACTGGAGTGATTGTGTCACAAACTGGTCCCCTGCCTTAACGGGTAGAAGTGACACCAAACATGTCCTGGAGAAGACACAGAAACGCTTTTGAGCACAGGTTCAGCAGGATGTTTTACACCCGTGACACCTGTTGAAAATACTGAGCCTACAATACAACCACAGACAGTGACTTGTGATCGCACCAGTGAGCCTGCAGGTGACCCTGGCTCTACAGAGCAGGGAGATGTTGCTGAGACAGCTGCACAAGAAATACAGTTGCTGTTCCAGATCCTGCTGTGCTGCCTGTCTTTCTGATGCTGGGTCCTGGAAGAGTGCTGTTCACTGCCTTAATGAACTGATGATTTGCCTAAAGCAGTGGCTGGGTTGTCATGTCCTTAATATTGACATCTAGACAAAAGATCAGGTCCAGGCTGTGCCCAGCTGGGTGGGCTCACCAGAGATGAGGACAGTCGTTTGTGGGGGGTTTGTCTTTGCAGCCTTTTTGACATGAATGTTGAAATCTCCCAGAATGACCACCATTGTCAGTGAGTTCCTTCGTGAACCCTTTCGTCTTTGGTCTGTAAATGAGCATAACATCTGTGTTAGCTTTGGCTCTTGTTTCTAGTGTTAGATTAATGAATTTGAATGACCTTGTCTTATCTGAGGCACCTTTCTTGGATTTATTGTTTGTAGAAGAGATGGATGCAGTGCTGTTTGCCTTCTTGTCCTGTCTGGGTCTGTGATGTACCAAGTCTTCTGGGGGTGTGAGGGTGACATACCAGGGTACAGTGCAGATGAGTTGGGGGCTGTGTCACCCCTGCCCTGCAACCTTGGGTGCCTCACAATGCCTTGCTGAAGTAGGAATCTGGACTGCTCACAAACAGCCTAACAGCATACAAGCCACACCCTGAGTGTCTGTATGTAACTGCAGCCCACCAGCCGCACTTGGGTTATATTCCAGCTCTTACCATCCTGGGTTATATTGCAGAGTGACCCCAACATACCCCCAGTCCCGGATTTCCCCCAGAAATATATGTCCTGTACCACCCAGCCCTCTCCTGGACAGTACAAATATTTTAAATTTATTATTCCTTTAAGGGAATAATATGCCAGCTTATTATCTCAAATAGTTATTCAGACACTTCAATTTAAACACACTGGATTAGATAAAACAGTAAAACAAAGTGATTAACTACAACGAAAGAGATTTTAAGTGAGTACAGGTAATGAGGCATAAAAGTCAGAAATGGTTACAAAAAAAATAAAGATAAGACATTTACTAATGCCTAATTTAACAAACTATCATAGATTCAAGCAAAGTTTCTCACCACATGCTCCAGCTATTTTACTGACCAAACTCTCAGGTCAGGACCCCTCCCCAGAGTCCAAAGCCTGCTTCCTTTGTCTCTTCAGGTATAGAGAATGTGATAGGAAAGGAGTGTTTGTCCCTCCTTCTTATGGTTTTTGAACCTGTTTGAACTTCTTTGTCTTACCTTCCTGCTTGATGACTCTGTTTACTGGTTCAATGCAAATTAAGTAGAGCACACATTCCTTTGTTTAGGACAGGCCTGTTTGCAGACTTCTCTTGGCACAGGGCTATGGGGATTGGAACCTGTGTTAACATTCTACTGTATGGTTTTGCTATAACTTCACATACAATGTTGCCACACATATTTTACCAGGACAATACTGCCCAGCAATTACGACTTTTCAAATGATACCTTAAAAGGCTTCCTTTATATGAAGATTAAAGGGTGTGAATTCAGGGGTGTGTTCTGTCCTGAGAGGTTAGGTGGGCTAGCACAGGTCTCCCGGCATCATCCAGCCTTGAAGATGCAGGCTAGATCAGGGGATTCATCACTGGCAAGGTCATGGGTGTTGGAGATGGAGCTTGCATTGATTGGTGTCAATATTAGTTCAGGTAGCTCTGTGTGCCTGCTTTGGGCCCATGCCTAGCTAATGTTCCCAGGCAGTGGAGAGGTGGTAGATGGCTGGAATCTGATTTCTTAGGTCTGCTCTGCTGGTTCCTGGGACAGTTCCTCCCAACATGGGCTGGGATAGGTGAAGTATCGGGCTGTGCCATTGGACACTCCAAGTGGAGGAGAGGTGGTCTGACTCGCTGGGGTGGTTGGATACCTTTTGGTGCTAAGGCCTGGTTGAGTCCTGGGAGTGGGTGGAACTGGAGCAGTCAGTCCTGGGAGTAGTGGTGGGTGTGCTGCAAGCATGATGCTAGGTAAAGTCCATTCCAAGCAGAGGAGGGGAGTTAATGGCATTAGACACCCATTTCCTTGCTGCCCTTAGCTGGCTTTCCGGGGTGCAGGGGAGATGGCACTTCCAATGTAACATGTGAGTTTCAGCTGTAAAAAAAAGCCCTCCTGCCCAGAAGATGATGGCAAAGCCTGGAGAAGCAGGACTGAGGTCCAGAGCTCCTTCCCCGTAAGAAAGGCAGTGTCCTATGGGAGCCTCAGCCCAGGTGGGGGCTCCTATGCTGGATGGAGGAGTTGCAGCCTCACTTTTACATTGCAGCAATTCTGTCTGGTGCTGGAATTTCCCCAAGTGCAAGGAAGCTCCTCCCACCGCGGCGGGGCAAGTGTGCTGCTGAGAGCCACAACAACCGCAGGTGCAACGTGGAGGTGGCACCCAAGCAACCTTAACTCTTCCCCCCCCCCACCAAGTGCATCCTCCTACCTGCCCTGCATCCCGTAGTGTATGCCCCTTGCAGCATTGGTTGGGTAGCTGGTGGCACACAGATAGCTCTTTGATGCTAGGTTTGATGCATGCTACCACACTGACCTCTGCTCTGACAGCATGATTTGGGCATCAAGGTAGCAGTTAGGGAAGCCGATCCTTGCATCTCCCTCCCAGAAGGTAACTTCTTGCCAGCACTATCCCCACATGGGGCAATCTGGGACAGTCCTAACAGGGCCCATGCTGATTCGTTCCTCAGGGAGGAATTCTGTGAAATATTCAGGGCCAAAGAGAAGACGACGGGAAAGCTCTACACGTGCAAGAAGTTCCTGAAGAGAGATGGACGGAAGGTGCGGAAGGCAGCCAAGAATGAGATCATCATCCTGAAAATGTGAGTCACTGTACCTTCCCATCCTGGGGTTTGAGCCTGAAGTTCTCAGCATTAACAGCATGAGTCCCTGCTGTGTATACTACAGGAGTAACTCTGTTAGCTACCAGCTGTAGTAGACTCTTCTGTGGACCAGCCAACAGAGGGGGACAAATGTACCAGTGGGAGCTAGGTCTGCTGAAGCCATGACATGACCTGACCAGGCTCCACTAACCCGGTCTCCTCCTAACGGGCCCCCTGCTCAGGGCATTCCTGCTGACAACAGGTCTTTTCTACATGTAACTGCATTTTTCCGTCTGTGGGCCCCCAATGTCGCCTGCTTTGATGCTGGGAAGGCTGGGTAGGGCAGCCCCATGACACCTTTTGTTGTGCCTCTGATCCCTTGGGCTAGGCTGACCTAGCACTGCATCTCACTCACAAGCTGACCTCTATGTGTGACCAGTGCCAACTTATAGAAAAGCCCTTCCTTCTTGGGACATGCCCACAGTACCCTTTGCCAGTCAATGGGTACTCTTTGCCTCCCCCAGTGCAGGCAGTATAGTGGGGACTGAGAGGGGAGACAGGATGTGTGCTACAGCGGGGAGATGAGGCTAGACACAGAGGGTAGCCTGAGTTTCCCCTATCCCCACAGCCCTGCCCATGTGGCTATGTGGTCAGGCGTATCCAATGTCCCCCTCCCTTAGGTGCTGGCAGTCAGCTTCATCCTCACGCCTGCTTGTTCTGGACATGCAATGCATGTTGCTCAGTCCCAGCAGGCATGGTGCCAGACTCCGGGTTGGGTTAAGGTGGGCACAGAGGGGAGGTCTGGCCTAGGCGTCTGGCCAGTTCGAGGCAGAGTCCAGCTGGTGTGACAGCCCCCAGGCCAGCCTGACTCCGAGGTGGGGGCACCAGGGGGTCCTGGCAGAGCTTGGGGTTGCGGCAGGATCCCTGGTCCCCACCCACCAGTCTCCGTCCTGCTGCTGGGTGGGTGGGGCCAGTTGTTGACACCTTCAACCAATCAGGCAGCTTCTGTGTCTCCAGCTCCTCCCCCTCCTCCGATGGGAGACCCTGAGGGACTGTGGGGGGAGCCAGAGCAGCTGGCGGAGCCAGCCACAGATGAGTGAGGGATCTTGCCCAGCCTGTGTGATGCTAGGTGCGCTCCCTGCCCTGTCCACTGTCGTACCCAGCTCTCCCGTGGCTCGGCCTTCCTTCTGACCTGCACGGCTCTCACAAGAGCCTCCAGCGCCCGCCCTGCCCTAGTGGGAGCAGAGTAGGGAGCAGAGTCTGTGTCCTGGCACAGGCAAGTACCCCAGGGATGTGGTGCTGCGCTGGGCAGAGTCCGCTAACCCCGTGTTCTCTCGCTCTGTGCCCCCAGGGTGAAGCACCCCAATATCCTGCAGCTGGTGGACGTGTACGTCACCCGCAAAGAGTACTTCATCTTCCTTGAACTGTAAGTTAGTTCTGCCTGGTACCTGGCAACTGCAAGATTGGCCCCAGCTGGCTCTGACAGGGCCCCTGCCCCTCCCCAGAGAGACCCTGGCTCTGAGGTCCCAGAGGGAGCTTGCTATGGCTGTAACCCCTCCACTGCTGCTCCCCAGGCACGTGTCTGGGGCAGCCACACCAGACGCCCCCTGGGTAATTCCCAGAAGCCCCTTTCTCCTTCTGGGAGGCTGTCTCCATGCAGACCTGCCCCACAAAGCTGGCCTGTGTCCCCTGCTGGGCCTGCTCTTGCCCCATGGCCAGATGCTTCACTCGTTAGCAGGTCAGTCTAGAGGCAGCTCCTGCTTAGAACTGCAGCTCAGCTGTGGGCCAAGGATTGGCCATGTGCCACAGCCAGGGCAGCTTATGGCCAGCAGCACAGGACTTGCTGATCTCCATGTATAGAGGGCTGGAGCCCTCAATTAATCCAGGTCTGGGATCCTTCATTATCCCACGGGCAATACAGGAGAAAGAACCATGCTGGGAAGGTCAGAGGATCTGTGGTGACTCACTCTGGAGGCTGATTCGTGCTCCTCGCCAGATTCAGCTGCAGCCTGCCGTGGGGAGCTGTCAGGAATGGTCAAGTCCCTGCTGTGAGCGTGCTTCCTGGGTGGGCGAGGATTGGCCAACTTCACTGAAACTCTTGAAAGCAGGCACTTGGGCGTTTCAGCTGAGCACCCAGAAATGCAAGGGCTGCTGCATAGCATTACCTGTAGCGCTAAGATCTGGCACTCTGATGAGACACGTGCTGTGTCCTGCCTCTGGCTGGGCTGGACCTCTGGACAGCTCCTCTTCCCTTGCCATGCCTCCTGCCTTTCCTAACCAAGCCCGGGACCCAGCTGCCTCTGCAGCCTGGGGCAGCTGCTATTGATGGATGGGGAAGGTTCTGAGACCCTGCAGCATCTGGGGTGCTCATGCGGGTCTTGGGGTGCTCTAGCCATAGCATGGGGGGTGTTGGGTACAAGGCCTGTCCCTCAGGGCAAAAGCCTGACCCTGCTGCTCTCTCAGGTATGGGCTTTTTCTCCCACTGCAGGGCCACAGGCCGGGAGGTGTTTGACTGGATCCTGGATCAGGGTTATTACTCTGAGCGGGACACCAGCAATGTCATCCGACAAGTGCTGGAGGCCGTCGCTTACCTGCATTCGCTCAAGATTGTGCACAGGAACCTCAAGGTCAGTCATCCGGCTCCCCCACTGGCCTGCATGCCCCGGGATGGTCTGTTACCTGCAGGCCCCATCTGCCCTCACAGTCCCCAGCCATCATGAGCAATCGAGCTCTAACGGGGGTCCCCACTCTCATTCCTCTCCCGGGGATGCGGCTCTGGGGGCGCACCTCACTGTGCTCCCCAGTAGGTGCTGCTTGGCCCCATAGCCTGGCTCCCTCCTGCAGGCTGGTTGGTGGCTCCCCGGCCTGGTGTAGCTTCTCTATATGGCAAATGGCCTGTTCTCTGAGTCATTCTCCCCTGAGGCAGGACGGGGTGCTGGCTGACCCACAGAGCCCTGTGGGAGAGACACCCCCTTGGTGCCCAGGGATCATTGACACCCACACACACAGCAGTGTGCCCATTCCTGGGATGGGTTGTGCTCTCTCCTTCCACTCCTGCCCTTCTCTTGGCATGCGGACCTGCAGCTGGAGAACCTGGTGTATTACAACCGCCTGAAGAACTCCAAGATTGTGATCAGTGACTTCCACCTGGCAAAGCTAGAGAACGGCCTCATCAAGGAGCCCTGTGGCACCCCAGAGTATCTAGGTAAGAAACAGTGAGGTGGGCATCAGGGGGCATTTGGCAAGGGGCAGCAAGGGACAGGCTAGACAAGAGAGGGCACAAAAATTAAATATTTTTTTCTCAAAAACTAAGGGTGAGCCACAGAGTGAGAAGCTGCCCCCAGAGCCCATTCCAGTGGCTCAGTAATCCAAGCCGGTCCTCCTCCCTCACCCCCCCCGGCCCAGGGGCTGCCCCCAGAGCCCATTCCAGGGGCTCAGGAATAGTTAAAGGCTGGATTGTGCCCTGAAGCATGAGGGCAGAGATCTCTTCCAGCCTTTTGCTTCTCCCACCTAAGAGCAGAATTTCTGACCTGGGACTGGTGGCTAAATAGGATCCATGCACATTCTCCTGAGCTCCTCCTCACTTGCCTGCCCCCTTCCTTCTCCACAACCCTCCTACCAGCGTGTTCAGCCCAGGATTGCTCCAGCCAGGCCTCCTTTCACACGCCATCCTGTTTCCTCTGCAGCTGTTCTGGCCCTTTCACCCTCCTCCAGGGGAGAAGTCACTGGCTCTGCATGCACACAAGACCCTTCTGGGCATGGCGCTGGCAGGGGCTTTCTCCCTGCAAAGATCTGAGCTCCCTCTCCTCGACGGAAGAGGTTCCCACAGTTCACAGAGAGCGTGGGCATAGTAACCCGGGAGCACTGATGGGCAGCTCAGAAATGGGGCAGCTGCCCACAAAGAGGAGCAAGGCCAGAGCCCTCCAGGAGCTAAGAGCACTGGAGGTGATCAGGCAAATTCACTCAGGTTGTAACACCTGCAGAGAGCTTCCCCCACTGGGAGAGAGGCTCACACCGGATTCTCCAGGGACCAAGAGACACAGGAGGGTTTTTGGTTATATAGCCTGAGTTACACTGGATTCAGAGCCTTCCTCCTGACTCCACTAACGGGTAGGACCTCTGGTCTATGGCAGACCCTGATCCCTAGCTAGGGCTGGAAGGACTTTGGCTCACTGAGGCCCCACACAACTGTGGGCTTGTTCTGAGCAAAGGATGTTATGAACTGGGTAGCACAAGAAAATCCCATGATGGCGTTTGAAGGGCCGCTCACCTGCCCAAGCCCATGCTGGAGCTTGAGGACTGCTAGTAAGCTTAAGTATCGGAGGGGTAGCCGTGTTAGTCTGAATCTGTAAAAAGCAACAGAGGGTCCTGTGGCACCTTTAAGACTAACAGAAGTATTGGGAGCATAAGCTTTCGTGGGTAAGAACCTCACTTCTTCAGTGAGCTCGAGTGTAGGTTCTTTTCCTCTCTGTGATGCTTTTCCCTCAAGAATCAATGGGCTTGCTTCACAAGGGCCAGGTGGTAACGTCACCGTGGCAGTTATACTGTGTACCAGCTTGGGGAGAAGAGTGAGGCAGGCCTGCTGAGGCAGCCTGTCTCTTGCTGGGGAAGTCACCATGTAGGCAGAGAGCCGAACAGCTTGGAAATATCCCAGTGAGAAGGGAGAGATGTGGGTCTCCGCCCAAGAGAGGCAACGGCTGGGGAAGCCAGGAGCTGAGGCTGGGTGCCCGTGCTAGCCCACAGAGGGGGAGTCCAGGCACAGTCTTGTGGCCAGAGAGACTCTTCCCGGGCCAGGAGATTCGCTACCAGCTGCAGTGTGGACATGCCCAAGGTAAGGCCCAAAATGGCAGGCAGAAGGGAGCAGGGAAATGAGACATAGCCCTAGCAAGCCAGATCCTAACTGGCACTTGTACCACTGCTGCCATGGGAACGTCCAAGGTGGGGGCTGCTGTGCGTAATGGGCTGAGCACCCGCTGGCAGCACTGCACAGGGCACCAGGACCTGTGGAGAGCCCAAGACGGAGCTCCTGCCACTGCCTGGGCGTGGGGCTCACCTTGCTGTTGGGCCGTTGCAGCTCCGGAGGTGGTGGGACGCCAGCGGTATGGACGGCCTGTGGACTGTTGGGCTATCGGTGTCATCATGTACATCTTGTAAGTATGGGGAGGGGAATGCAGAGTGGGGTCCTGGAATTCTGAGCCTGGCTTGCAGGGGTTGGGGGCTGGCTGAGGATGGGGCCGGCCAGAGACTGGGCCAGGGAGCAGAAGATGGGCTTGTGGGGGGGATTGTGGTTGGAGAGATGAGTATGGGGTAGAGCCAGAGGCTGGGCCAGGAAGCTGATATTGGGGGGGATAGGGATGATGGACACAGACTGGGCTGTAGAGTCAAGGACATGGTGGAAGGGTGACAGCCAGAGGCCACATCCAGGAAACTAGCTGAGAGAGTGAGCCAACAACCAGGGCCTGGGCCTGGACTCTGGGGAAGAGGGCCGGAGACCAAGGGGGCCCTGAGGAAGAGGGCCGGAGACCAAGGGTTCCCAGGGAAGGCATCCAGAGGGGCCCCGGGGAAGGGGGCCAGACACTCAGTGCCCTGGTCCCAGTGTCCCTTACGCAGCGGTCCAGCCTGCCCACAAGGCGGCAGTGATGGGGTAAGTGGAGCCGCAGTGTAGTCAGCGCTGGGCCAGGCCAGGCGTACTCACTGCCCTGACGTTCTCATCCCATGCAGGCTGTCGGGGAACCCACCCTTTTATGAGGAGGTGGAAGAGGACGACTATGAGAACCACGACAAGAATCTATTCCGCAAGATTCTGGCCGGCGACTATGAATTCGACCCGCCTTACTGGGATGACATCTCCCAGGCGGGTGAGGCTCGCTCGCCTGGGGGCACCGCTGGGCACCTGGCTCCAGAACCAGCACGATGTTCGCTCCGAGTCCCACTCACAAACCCACCCCTGAGAGGCAATGGAACGGAGGAGCCCATGTGGGCGAGACTCACCCTCACGCAGCCCCTGCAGAGCCCCCGCTGCACGGACCCCACACACTCCCACCCTCCCTTGAGAGACCGCTCAGTGGGAGAGACAAAAACAATAGTTCCTGCCAGTCCTGCTCTATGGCAACCCCAACCCAGTCCTCGTCACTTCCCCCTCACCCCTCCTGTCCTGTTCTACTTAATCCCAAACTGTCCTCATCCCTACCCTGCCAGCCCTGTTCTGTGGAACCCCAACCCTGTCTCCCTCCCCCTCGCCCCGCCCCAGCCCTGTTGTACAGGATCCCAACCTAGTCCTCGTCCCATCCCCGCCAGCCCTGTTGTATGGGATCCCAACCCTGTCCTCATTCTGCCTCCGCCAGTCCCGTTCTATAGGACCCCAACTCCATCCTCGTCTCCTCCCCGCAGCAGCCCCGCTCCACAGGACCCAAACTCCATCCTTGTCCCACCACCCCACCAGTCCTGTTATGTGGGACCCTGGCCAAACCCATCTTCATCCCACCAGCACCACCAGTCATGTTCTATGGGACCCCAGCCCTGTCCTCATCCGCATCCTTGTCCTGCCCCCACCACCCCTGTTCTATGGGGACCCCAACCTGTCCTTGTCCTGCCTCCGCCAGCCCTGTTCTATGGGACCCCAACTCTATCCTCATCCTGACCCGCCAGTCATGTTCTGTGGGACCCCGACCCCGTCCTCGTCCCACCCCGGCCAGTGCTCTTCTACAGGATCCTAACCCCATCCTCGTGACCCCGCCCCCCACCAGTCCTGTTCTGTGGGACGCCGGCTAAGCCCATCCTCATCCCACCCCCGCCATCCCTGTTATATGGGACCCCCAACACCATCCTCATTCCGCCCCTCCCCCCCCCGCCGGTGCTGTTCTATGGGACCCCAACCTGTCCTCATCCCACCCCGCCAGTGCCACTCTACGGGATCCCAACCCCATCCTCATCTTGCCCCTGCCAGCCCTGTTCTACATGGATCCCAACCTTATCCTCTTCCCCTGCCCCCACCCCACGCCAGTCCTGTTGGACGGGGCTCCAACTCTGCTTTGTCCTGCCGCCGCCAGCCCTGTTCTATGGGACCCCAACCCCGTCCTCCCCCAACCGCCAGGCCTTTTCTACAGGGTTCCAGCCCCGTCCTCGTCCCACCCCCACCAGTTATGTCCTACCAAGCCCCAACCCCGTCCTCGTCCCCCCCACCAGTCCTGTTCTCTGGGACATCGGCCAACCCCATCCTCATCCCACGCCCACCAGTCATGTTCTACAGGAACCCAGCCTGTCCTCATACCGCCTCCACTAGCCCTGTTCTGTGGGACCCCAACCCCATCCTCGTCCCGCCCTCACCAGTCCTGTTCTCAGGGACCAGGGGTGAAAGTAACTTAAAGGACTTACCAGTACGCTGGAGTCCTGAGCGGGGGTGTGGCCTCAACCGGAAGAGGTATGGCCTCAACCAGAGGAGGTGGGGCCCTTCAATATTTAAAGGCCCTGGGCCTCTGGCTGTGGCTGGGAGCCCCAGGGCCTTTAAATCACCCTGGAGCTACCAGCTGAAGAGGCGGCTGCGAGCCCTGAGGTGCAAGGGTGAATTAAAGGGCCCAGAGCTCTGGCCACCACGGGGAGCTCCGGGCCCTGTAAAGCGCCGCCCTAGCCCTGCTGCTGGGCTTGTGCAGGGATTTAAAGGGCCTGGTGCTCCTGCCACTGCGGGTTGCCCCGGGCCCTTTAAAGTGCCGCCGGAGCTCTGGCAGCGGGGCTCAGGCTGCACTTTAAAGGGTCCGGGGCTCCCCATGGCGGCTGGAGCCCCGGGCCCTTTAAATCCCCTCCGGGGCTCCGGCAGCCGGGCTCGGGCGGGGGATTTAAAGAGCCCAGTGCTCCGGCCACTGCAGGGAGCCTTGGGCCCTTTAAAGCACCACCTGAGCCCCGCTGCCGGAGCTCCAGCGGCGCTTTAAAGGGCCCAGGGCTCCCCCCAGCAGCTAGAGCGTACCGGCCCGTACTGGCTAACTTTCACCTCTGTCTGGGACCCAAACCCTGTCCTCATCCCGCCCCCACCCTTCCCGTTCTGGGGACCACAACTCCATCCTTGTCCCACCCCCACCAGTCATGTCCTACCAGGCCCCAACCACGTCCTTGTCCCCGCCACCAGTCCCATTCTATGGGGATCCCCACCCTGTCCTCATCCCTCTGCCAGTCCTGTTCTATGGGACCCCAACCTTGTCCTCATCCCACCTTTGCCCGCCCTGTTCTATAGGGACCCCAACCCTGTCCTCATCCCGCCTTCACCAGCCCTGTTCTATAGGGACCTAACCCTGTCCTTGTCCCACTCCCACCAGTCTCGTTCTGTAATACCCGTCCTTGTCCTGCCTCCGCCAGCCCTGTTCTACAGGATTCCAATCCCATCCTTGTTGTGTCCCTGCCAGTCCTGTTCTGTGGGATCCCAGCTAACCCTGTTCTCATCCCACCTCCACCACTCCTGTTCTACAGGACCCCAACCCTGTCCTCGTCCTATCCCCCCAGTCCTGTTCTACGGGGCCCCAACCTTGTCCTCATCCCACCTTTGCCCGCCCTGTTCTATAGGGACCCCAACCCTGTCCTCATCCCGCCTTCACCAGCCCTGTTCTATAGGGACCTAACCCTGTCCTTGTCCCACTCCCACCAGTCTCGTTCTGTAATACCCGTCCTTGTCCTGCCTCCGCCAGCCCTGTTCTACAGGACCCCAACCCTGTCCTCATCCCGCCTTCACCAGCCCTGTTCTATAGGGACCTAACCCTGTCCTTGTCCCACTCCCACCAGTCTCG